GAGTTTTTCGTCTTGCGAAGCACGGTTTCCCATAGGAATGCATTGAAAATCAATTAATGCGTTCCTAGGGAAACCGCTTGCCAGGCTGGCGGTGCGGAGAAGGGCTTTTCTCCCCACCGCAAGCCTTCAGGACAGGTACGGGAACAGAGGGGAAGGCGCGCAGCGCTTTCCCTCTGTTCCCGGGGCTTGCGTGGGAGGAGGGTTTTTACTCCCCACCGCCAACATTCAGAACAGCATTCTGAATGTTGGCGGTGGGAAGGAAAACCCTCCTCCCACCCCAAGTCTTCAGGAAAGCCATCCGAAGCCGGGCGGCGGGAGAAGGTGTCCCCGCCCCCCCGCCCGGCATCGGAGCTTCGTTCCGATGGCGGGCGGCGGGAGGAGGTGTCCCCGCCCGGCATCGGAGCTTCGTTCCGATGGCGGGCGGCGGGAGAACGCGTCCCCGCCCCCCCGCCCGGCATCGGAGCTTCGTTCCGATGGCGGGTGGCGGGAGGAGGTGTCCCCGCCCCCCCGCCGGCATCAGAGCTTCGTTCCGATGGCGGGTGGCGGGAGAACGCGTTCCCGCCCCCCCGCCCGGCATCGGAGCTTCGTTCTGATGGCGGGCGGCGGGAGAATGCGTCCCCGCCCCCCCGCCCGGCATCGGAGCTTCGTTCCGATGGCGGGCGGTGGGAGGAGGTCCGAGGACAGTGGGGAAGACACGCTGCGCTTCCCCGCTGTCCCGGAGATTTCCCTATGGGCTTTCGTCTTGCGAAGCAAGCCCATAGAGAAAATCGTCTTGCGAAGCAACTCGCAAACGGAAAACCCTTTCGTCTAGCGGGTTTTCCGTCTTGCGAGGCGTTCGTCTTGCGGGGTACCACTGTATTAAGTACCTTTGTTTGAGTGGGAAGGCACTACAGAGGTGCAAAACTGGAGCACTCTGTGGAAGACCTTTGCTTGAGGTCACATCACTTCCAATTATGTGTACCTGCGAGGAATATACCTGCATGACTGCAGTTCATCAAAAGTGTAGCTTTTTCTAATGGAGGGCACTGTCCATTGGTTGGAGAACCCAGAATCTGCTCCAATCTTGACCTTCCAATTTTCTTGATTGTAGGTAAATCCAATGCTGACTGCTGTATTTCAGCATTGTTTTAAGAAGCTGTATTTTCTGGTTCCCTGGTTGTTGTTGTTTTTAAACAGTGTTTTAACTGTGCAACTCTGGCAGAAACATTATACCCATTAATTGTGCCCTGGAAATCTGGAGCACATATTGAAACTTTGACCTCTTGTCTGTTCAATTATTAGAATATGCAGAACAGTCCCCAAAACACTCCTTTTGGCCAGATTATGGGTGCTGTTTTTTAAGACTCCCTAATGTGCTCAGAAATGTTTGTTTGGGTGAAATTCCTGGCCTTTCTGTAGAACAGCGAGTGGCCAAACGAGTGCCATACTTCAAAGCCCAATTAGTGACATGCTTGGAATTTGTCTGGCTAAATGCTTGTTTCTGTCCTCCCTCTCCCCAGGGTCGATGTAGAACAGGGTAACTGAGTTGAATTCAAATAAATATTTCTATTTCAAATACTCCAGGCTGTAAATTTCAAATATTTGCCTGTTAATTTTGCTTTGCTCATGTGCTTCACATGAAAGTGAAGATTGGCCAGTGTGGAAAAAGGGGAAAAAAGAGTTTCTCAGTGCATCTTGAGCACCGCAGTCAATGTTTGGAGAATCAAGGAGTGTTCCTGGATAGATTAGTTCTGACAGAGGGATGCCAAGAAGGGTGATGCTCGAATCGCCTCATGGCAAAGGTTGGCATTGACTGGCATTGACAAAGGAGTTTAAGAGACCAATTAAAGTGGCCAAGAGCTGTGCAGTCTTTTTATTTTCAAAAGCCAGCCCAGGCAACTGTGTCACAGTAACACACTTCTTTCTTGTCTGTCTCTCCCCCCTCCTCCTCCCCACCCCGCTTTGCTGTTGGGCTTCTTGCCATCATGCCGTCCTGCAGCCATAGACTAGGCTCTTAATGTTTTCATGGGAATGTTTGCTTCAAGAAAGCATAGTGTTTTTGAAGCAAAAGCAACAGAGTGTATTGTGGCACCTTTTTAAAGGCGTAACAAAATTTTATTATGACATAATCTTTTCATTGGACCTAGTACAGGAGAAAATCATTCAGGTGGGAGTTGAGCGGCAAGGAGATGTAAAAATTGCAAACAGCAATCTATAAGAACTTTAAATGTAAGTTAAATAGTGAAATCTGTTACGGTAGCAGATTGGTGATAATACGATCCTCTCACCAGTGCTGAGTAAATTAACATCTTTAGTGGAACAGGAAACTATTCACAAGCAGTTATTGATAAAGAAGAATACAATGTGAAATAGCTGAACTGCAGTTCATCAAGAAGTTCTGTGCCATCCCCTGTGAGTTAAATTGAGATAACTGCTTGAGTTAATCAGCTTACCAATGCCAAATATCTGTGCTGTCTAGTACTGTTTCTCGTTGATGGTGATAATGCAGTCATCTCTGCAATGCTCAATAAAATGTCACCAGTCTGCCATTTCATGGCTAGTCATGAAAGTTTATGCCATAACACAGCTTGTCCTTAAGATAGGAAAAGACAGTTGATTTTTGCTGCAAGAAGCTAAGACAGCTACCATTCCCTCTGGAAATCATTCTTGAAACTCATTCCTGTGCCAGAACTATTGGTACTCTAGCATTTTCATGAGCTTTTTGTATTCAGCCCTCTGGTTGGGGAACTTGTCTGAAGTCTACTTGCAGCAGTGCAACAAGAGGTTTTGTACCCTCAGTGACCCATTGACTTCCCAAATATACTGTCTTGAGTTCCTTTCCCAGGAGGGGGCAATATTTGCTGTGCCTGGCCGATGAGGGCAGAATAATTGAGTGGGTCTTAATTGAAAATCAAGACTTTTTTTTAAAAAAAAGTCACGTGTTTCGGCATTGATTTGGGTCCAGTTAATTTTAATAGGACATTCCTATTTCATGCATTTCTTTTGAGAGTCATTTTTATTGGAAGAGGTAGTTGTAGTGCCTCATGCAAGCATCCATTTAGAAGTAGCATGTGTCACCTTTCAAGGCTTTTCCACATTTAACAGAGACAGCATATAATGGCTGTTACAAGATGGCATAATGGCTGCCAACCTGGATGGCTTTAAGATATACTCATGGGACATCAGTGGTTGCTAGCCACAGTGATATGTTCTACCTCCACTGTCAGAGTCAGTGTGCCTCTAAATACTAGTTGCTGAGATTCACAAGTGAGGAAAGCTGCTCTTGTGCTCAGGTCCTGCTTGCAGGCTTCCCATTGGGGCATCTGTTGGTACCCACACAACCTTTAGATAACAGGCATGTATAACTTCTTAAATGAGTGAACATTTTTTAAAGTGAAGTGCATTGCTACTTCTGCTGCACAGACTCACTTGCATTTGGAAAGCAGAAGGCTTAATGTGTTGGTGGAGCTGCGACAAGCGCATGGGTACCGCTCATCTTTCCACAGCCCTTTCTGGCAGCAGCAGTTGCACAGCCTGGTGGCCAGCTGAGCTAGGGATGCAGGCTGCCATGGTTCAACATTCAGCAAACGCTTTGGCAGCCCACTTTGCACCCTGCCGAGCTTTCTCTGCAGCCGTGCCTTCCTAATGCTTGTTGGGCAAGACCTGACACATTTGTTCCCCATGGTGTGGTTTGCCGTCCTGTAGCATAACAGACAGCAAGAGATGACTGCATAGTGTGTCTGACTAGATAGACCAGGAGTACATAACTCACAAGGGTAGAGCATCTGCTTTGCATGCAAAAGACCCAGGTTCAATTCTTTGGCTGGGAGAGACCCCTTCTTGAAATCCTGGAAAGATGCTGCCTGTTTGCAGACAACAAAGAGCCACAATAGACAAACCAACTCAGTATAATAATAATAATTTATAATAATTTATTATTTATACCCCGCCCATCTGGCTGGGCTTCCCCAGCCACTCTGGGCGGCATCCAACCAAATATTAAAATGCAGTAATACACCAAACATTAAAAGCTTCCTTAAACAGGGCTGCCTTCAGATGTCTTCTAAAAGTTTGGTAGTTGTTGTTCTCTTTGACATCTGGTGGGACGGCATTCCACAGGGTGGGCACCACTACCGAGAAGGCCCTCTGCCTGGTTCCCTGTAATTTGGTTTCTCGCAGTGAGGCAACCGCCAGAAGGCCCTCGGCACTGGACCTCAGTGTCTGGGTAGAACAATGGGGGTGGCAGCTTCCTTTGTTTCTATGAGGTTATGTTTCTAATCTCTAGCCTGTGGGCCAACTTTTACCTACCATGCCGTTCCTGGAAAATCACACCCATTTCCTCTGCCCTTCAAGCCTCATTCCCTACCTACACACCTCCAGTTTTTCTTTCTTAGTCTGCTGATGATGGATGCCCTGCCTTTGTACCTTCCCTGTGTCCCAGAATTGCTTTCAGAGTCCTCCATCTGCCCCCTTGTGGGGACCCCCCCCCCGTGGGATTCTTAATCCCAGGCAAACTGACAGCTTCACCTTCCCTCACAGAAGCCTAACTGCAGAATGTTTAGCACCTGGGCTGCTGCACATCCTGCACTGCCACAGCAGCTCAACCAGTCAAGTATTGAAGGCTTCCCTGCTACAAGTAAATATGACATTGATACAATAGGCAATGTATTGGGGTGGCTGTGGGACTTGGTCCTAGGTAAGTTGGCATAGGATGGCAACCCAGATCTCTTTTAAATATAGATATAGTTCAGAACAAGTATGTAAACTGCAAAGTACTGGAAGAAGGAAATGAGTGATGTTGAAAATGTGTTAACGTGAAATGGCATCTTTGGTGTCTCTGAACTTGAAAGAAAGGAGTAAGGTGAAGATCTGGTTCTGACCATTTGATTCTGATTTTTTTAAAAAAGAGAAATGTTCGAAGGTTTTCTGTGTAAATGTCTACATCTTTGACCTTTTCCTTATTTGCTCCCTTTTCAGTCTTTCCTGTATTACTGACTTGGGTTTATCTTTTCTCCCTATAGAGAGTTTTGAGGTGACAGTCACCAAAGAAGGTGATAAAGGGTTCTTTCTATCCCCCTTTTATGAATATTAACCCACTAACTTTGGTTATGAAATGGGGAATCAGCACTTAAACAGAAGATCCTGTCATGCTCTTTGACCCCATTTTATTATCCCAGTTTTTTCCTCCCCGATCCCACCACCCTCAAAATATATTGATAGAAAAATGTTATGTAACCAACCCTTGGCTAGAAATATCGGTAAATCAGACATCCATTTGAACTGTGCAGTTTAATACCTAGGCTGTGTATAGTTCTGGTAAATGTGTTTTCTGAGCATTTTCTCTAATAGTTTCCCTTTCTGGGGGTGTTCTAGTCATATATTGAAACAAAATGTTTGCCAACTGAAGCACCGAATTGTATACTGCATACCAGCAATTCATGGTATAGATTGTTGGTCACTTTGTATACAACTAAGCTGGATACAACTAAGCTGGACTTAGTTGTAGCCCATGCAGGTATAATATTCGTAATCTTGGAGATGGAGATACCCACAAACATGTTTATTCTTTCAGCCTCCCTTGCCTTCCAGCTTTCCTTCCCTTTTCAGAGCTAACCATGGTGCTTGGTTACATCTGTACTGAAGCAACAATGGTTAGTTTCAAAGTGGTATAACCACTGTAGGCTTGCACACTCTAATTTGAAACTTAACTGTGCTTGTAGTATTAGTGGAGATGTAACTCTGCACTATGGTTAGCTCTGAAAAGGAGAGAGAGGCGGCAATTATGTGCAAGAAGGAAGCCGAGGGGAAAGAGTGTGTGAGCAGGTGGGGCATCCTGAATCTCACAACCGTAGGCACAACAGTAGAAATAGTTTGTCCTTGCACTGGGCCTATATCACTCTCTTCTATTTATGTTATGGTTTAGGGCTGAACCACAAAGTAAGAGTATAGAGGACAGTTCTAAGTTAGTAGGTTGAAATGGATGCCTGAAAAAGTTGGTATTTCTACCTTTTCTCATTCAGTAGTTCATTCTGATTCCCTGACTTTTTTTTTTAAATGCCAGGTACATTGCACAGGAAGACTTTGTCCTTTTGATCAATTGACAGAATTTATGTTAATTGTGGTGCTGAATCTTCTATATACATTGAAGCTTTTCTTTCCATCTTTTCCCCCTGTTCCCTCTCCCGACTTTGTAACGGCGCATTATAACCTCCTGCTCTGGTCAAAATCCAGCAAAGCTGCCCAGCTATTTCCCAGTAGCTTGGCATAGAAGATATCTCCCCCACCCTGTGGCCTTGGCTGTTCGCTCCCCTAAGATCTCTTACTCTTTTGCCCTAGAGTGCATCTCAAGTACTCCTGTGAAATGCCTGTCTACATTTCTCTTTCTCTCTCTTTTTGTATTCCTGCATGAATGGATGCAAAGTAAAAAAACCAGTTGCTTGGAAAGCAAAATGTATGCCTTTTTATTTTTATTTTAAAAACAAAGTTCCTGGAACTCACCCATCTTTAAAAGCACAGTTGCCTCTTTGCTTTGTCCACAGACCCTCACAAACCCCTGGCTGCACACACATACAATTGCATTTAAAAAGCAAACCAAAAAAACAAACCACCCCGCTGTTTCATGCTTTGTTACCTGGAAATGCTAACTGGAGTTACTTTGAATCTCATAGGTGAGATTTGTGGGTTTAAAATCCATGGCCAAAATGTCCCTTTTGAAGCGGTGGTGGTGGATAAATCCACCGGGGAGGGGATGATCCAATCCAAAGAGAAACTGGACTGTGAGCTGCAGAAGGACTACACATTCACCATCCAGGCCTATGATTGTGGGAAGGGCCCAGACGGAGCAAATATGAAGAAATCCCACAAGTAAGTACAGCGTGGGAGAGAGGGAGGTGGGAGGCTCTGATTTAGGCATCTTTTCCCCTCCTGACAGGATGCGGTTTCTTCTTCTTTGTAGTCTGCCCTTGAATGAATGAATTAAAACCGGCTGGCGACAGTGATAGATGCTCAATGGGTGGTCTTGGTACCAGAAGTGTTCCCAGCTGCACCCGGACCCTAAATTGCATTGATCTGCCCATACATTACCTGCTTGATTAACATCATTCTGCCACATTCATAAGCTGCCTGTTTGCCAGTGCATTCAAGGCCGTTTGCAGCCGTAAACAATGATTTGGGTTTTAATAATAAACGTGGGTTAGGAGGGAAAGAGGTAAATAAAGGTATGTTCAGTGGTAGAGTATCTGCTTTGCATGCAGAATGTCCCGCCCCAGCATCTCCTGATAGGGCTTAGGTAGAGACACTCTGTCTGAAACCCTAGAGAGCTGCTGCCAGTCAGTATGGACTATACCAGGCTTCCTCAACCTCAGCCCTCCAGATGTTTTGAGACTACAATTCCCATCATCCCTGACCACTGGTCCTGCTAGCTGGGGATCATGGGAGTCGTAGGCCAAAAGCATCTGGAGATTGAGGAAGCCTGGACTATACTATACCCTCCAACATTCCTCGGATGAAAATAGGGACAGTCTATTCTGCATTGTTATCACTGCTTAAGCATTGACAAAAGTTATTAGAGATTTTCTTTTCCCCTCAGGCTTCCCTAAATGCAATGCATAAATTCAAAGATTTCTGTGCTTAAAATACAGCAGTTCTATGTGTTTCCTCTAATAGATGAAACCAGTTGTTCCACCTAGCTCAGTATTGTCTATACTGACTGGCAGAGGCTCTCACGGGTTTCAGGCAAGGGAGTCTTTTCCAGCACTATCTGGAAATTCCAGGGATTGAACTTCCTTGGGACCTTCTGTATGCAAAGTGGGATCTCTATCACTAGGCTATGGCGCTTTCCCAAGTGCCTTCCCAAAAGCTGGTACTCTGTCATACCTCGGGTTACGCCTTTTCGGGTTACGGACACACTGTAACCCGGAAGTACCAGAACAGGTTACTTCTGGGTTTCGGCGCTTGCACATGCGCAGTAGTGCCAAGTTGCATCACATGCGTGCGCAGACATGGCGCTGCGGGTTGCGAACGTGCCTCCTGCACAGATCATGTTCGCAACCCGAGGTTCCACTGTATTGCATTACTTTGCTTTCATCTTTTTAAAATATAATATAACTTTTATTGAGTTTCAGGACAAACACAGAAAATATACAGAATAAAAACCGTACTGTATTCAGAACTCAAAAATATTGGTTCCCCTTCCCACCCAGAATCCACTGACCCTCCTCCCAAGAGAGCTTAATGTCATCAGCACACCCAAAGCCTCTTCATAATACTTGGTTACAGCAGGACCAGACAGATTAAAGGGATTCAGTACATACACCTGTTGTGCCTAAAAGAGCCAGATGCGTATTGGGTTGGAACAAGGTTTAGATCTCTAAATCCGTAGTCATAGCCCATTCTCTAAGATGTACCTCTTGGATTTGCTCCTGTGCATATCTTGTACAGCTTGGGCAGGGTGCTGCTGCTGACACCCAGCTGCTCTCCAGCCTCTTAACATGGTCCAGAAGGCTTTGGTTGATGGGCAGCCTAATAATGGAATGGATGAATGAATGAAAGCATCAGTGCTCTTCTCCAATACACAGAAGTGGGCCCTGATGCTGTAGACCCTTTAATATGTTGTATGGAACAGGCCCGTCCTGGGTGTGCAGTATACATAGGGTCCCATTTTTTCCATGGCATGCAAAAATTCCCTCCCTCTCCAGCACACAGCAGTCTTTATACACACTGTTCTCTTTCACATGTCCGCAAAGCCAGCCAAAAGCATTTGTTCATTGATGGGAAACAAAACAGTGGGTTCAAGGAATCTAAAATATGTAGTGGATCTTTTTGTACACCTACTTAGGCTCCCACTGAAAAGAAAACTCTTATGCGAATGAGATTGATGCTCTGTATATCATAACTTCAGTGGCTAGAATACTTTATGCAAAGGCGTGGGGTGGAAAACGGAAGCCTAATAAACTATATCTAATAAAGCATGGGAGCAGGTAAATATTGGTAAGCTAACAGATATGCTATGGGGGTAGAGAAATTCAGAGAGAGAATAATCCATGGAACCGAGTAACTTAATATCTCAAAAGAGAGATGGGAATTTCAGGACAGGGAATTGATTACATGTGTTTATGAGAACATAAAATTAATACAAATGAGGAAAAGTCAAAAGCTTTAAACAAAATGAACAAGTCAGACATCAGCTCCAAGTATCCTTTTTTAACTCTTATATTTATTCTAGCTCTGTAATAGTAAAATTATTTAATTCTATGCAAGTTTTGAAATTAAAGGCTTTAAATATTGCTGTTTGATTGTATGAAATAATAATGTTTATTTATTTTTAAAATGAAACTGGTGCTCCAGACAGCGTTTGCATTGCCAAAGCTCAATTCCCTATTGATTTATTCTGTGTTTTGCTTACTGATAAGGGTCACACGTTTTTGTAATAACTTTTGAGTACAAGAGGCAGCCTCAGATATTCTTTATAGGTTTTCCTATTAAATATAAGCTATTGTAGTCATCTTTATGGTGGCAAATTTTCATGCCTTTAAGAAATGAGCTCACTTGGCCTTTACTTCAATAAATCTTGAGTTGTAATAAAAGCTATCAAATCTGGCTGACCAGGCCAATTGCCCTGTCTTTATTCAGTTCCCGTGATTCATTAGATGCCATTTATAGTAGGGAAAATAAATGACCGGCACCACATTTGCAAAGCCTGAGACATGAGAGTAGCTTTGGATGTTCCATGGAGGGGCAGCGAGTGCCTTGCAAACCCTATTCTTCTTTATCTCTGTTTAATGTGCATTAGAGATGCAAGGCATTACTTGTTCCTTTGCCCCATTGTGCCTTCTTGAAACTGCTCCGTTGCTTGCTGCCAGGCATGTAACTCCTAGGTGCTTGAAGCTGAAAACTCCAGACAGCTGTGTTGCTCGTCCTCTGATGGGGAAACGATAGCACTCCCATCTGTGTCTTCCTCCCTAGTACAGAGGTAGTCCAACATTGTGTCCTCCAGATGTTGCATTGCAGCAAGACTCTTAGCAACTTGGCTCTGCAAGGAACCCACAGTGCATAGTTAGACTATGCAGCCCCCTGCCACAGGGGGCAGTGATGGCCACCGGCTTGGATGGAGGGCAGCATGTCTGCCTTTGCCTAAGTAGATAGAAGGGCCCTGGGGAGTGTGGGATCAGTGGATGATTTCCTGTGGGTTGATCTAAAAAAAACAACAAGCTGCATTTTCATTACTCTCCCGTGTACTGGAATAGCTAGAAAGATAAAGTAGGCAGTTGGTTGAAATCACATCTCGGACTTGGACTCCTTATCAACCCACATGTTAGTAGCCTCCATGTTTCAATAATAATAATAATAATAATAATAATAATAAAAATAAAAATAAAAAATAAAATAAAATAAAATAAAAACAGCTGTTATTTTAATGTATTTATATTCTACCTTTCTCCTAGTTCGGAATTCAAGGTGGCTTATAACATTTAAAAACATCACTATAAAATACAGAGTAATAAAAGTGAGCTAGTTGAAAAGCAATAGTTAAAATACATTAAAGCACATTTAAAACCAGCATTGAAATACAGTTTGCCCTGACAGCGGCCCAGTGGTCAGCATCTTCTGCATCTTAGTTTTCTAAGGGCTATCTGAATAATGGGAATAATGGTGGTCTTGCAGGGGTGAAAGGCAAACATGCAGGTTCGGAGTTGCAGAATCTTTTTAGAACACTAATAGTATTCTGTAAGCCATAACTGGTTGATTGCTAGAGAATGTAGTTGGCTCACTTTTTGTTTTGACTCTGCTGAATGCCAATAATTGGCTGCTACTCTGTCTCCAGAGCAACGGTGCATATCCAGGTGAATGATGTCAATGAGTATGCCCCGGTGTTTAAAGAGAAGTCCTACAAAGCCGCCGTTATTGAGGGCAAGAGGTACGACAACATCCTGAAAGTGGAAGCAGTGGATGCCGACTGCTCTCCCCAGTTCAGCCAGATTTGCAGCTATGAAATCGTCACACCAGATGTTCCCTTTGCTATTGACAAGGATGGTAAGTAGGACCATTGACTGTGTGTGTGTTTATACAGGGGTAGTGTCCATTTCACCCTGCTCCGTAAAAGCATTTAAATCTGGCATTTTTTATTTTTTGAGATTTTGGAAGGGGGAAAAAAAAGCTCAACAACTGCCTGGAAATGTGGCAACCCTATTCTAGGACTAACATTAGATACAAATGAGAGATGAGGAATCTGTTGCCCTCTACGAGCTCCCATCAGATTCAGCCAGTGTGGCCAGTGATCAGGGATGATAAAAATTGTAGTCCAACATCTGGAGGACCCACACATTCCTCATCCCTGATGTAGTGCTTCAAATTTTCAGCCTACAAAATAGGAGTATTTCAAACTTTGTTCTCGAAAGCTTTGGAGCTGGTTGTGTGCTTGTCATAGGCTACTATAGGAGATCAGGTGTGTCTAAGGAAAGTTGGAAAAAGACTTAATGTCTCTCTGCTGCCCATCCTGCTCTGTGATGAAAAGTCACAGGGGAGGAATGGACGCATTCCACAGCAGAGGTTCTCAAACCGCTGGTGGACCATTAGCTCCATTCTGATGGGCTCCAGAAAGCTTGCAAAATTGTACTTGGTCCTGCATTTTATGGATGCTTTTTCTTCTTCTGTTTTCTTTTCTGATGACTTTTTTTTAAAAAAAGAGAGAACCGGCATTCTAGAGTGCCCTGGACTCTTTAAGTTCACTTCATGCAAGAGGCACAACTGCTTGGTTAGTGTCTTGTTTATTTATTTAGTGTATTATATCCCAACTTTTCCTCCCAAAGAGCTCTAAGTGGTATACATGGTTCTCCCCCTCCTTATTTAATTCCCTCAACAATCCTGTGAGGCAAGTTAGGCTGAGATACAGTGACACGCTCCAAGGGTAACACCTGGTGAGCTTCATAGCTGAGCTGGGATTTGAACCCTGGTCTCCCAAGTCCTAGTCCAGCACTCTTAAGCACAACAGCACACTGTAGGCCGAGCACTGCAAAACACTCTTTAGCACAGAAGATTTGATGGCAAAATAAATACTGGATTATCTACATGCATTTTTTGTTTGCTTTCTGTTGATTCTCTACGCGTTCCCACCGCTTCTCAAACCTATTCACCAAGAAAATTCTCCTATAACTTGGCATAGGCACCCCAAGTAAATTTTTATTCACAACTTCTCCACCCCCTCAACCTTTTCAGTGCACCAGTTTGTTTTTGAAAAAAACACAATCGCTTTCCTCCCGCTGTCAGGTTACATTAAGAACACAGAGAAGCTGAACTACGGCAAGGAGCACCAGTATAAGCTCACCGTGACGGCCTATGACTGCGGGAAGAAGAGAGCTGCCGAGGACGTGCTGGTGAAGATCACCATTAAACCTACATGCAAGCCAGGCTGGCAAGGTTAGTGCTGTTCCCCACCCGCCCAATGCAGCGTTACAGCAGTGAAATGCTTTCCAGTGCCTATTGCCATTACCCTTTTGGGGGAGGGAAAGTGGTGTTGAGAGTGTTGGCAGAGCGGCTGTAGGTATCCCTGGAAGACACTTCCTACTTGGATCCCCCTCAATCTGGGTTTAGGCCTAGTGGATCCAGGGTCTAGTCAACCCTTGCAGAGGGGAGTGGGGTTCTGGCCATCTTGAATGAGGCAGTGATCTGACCACTCCTGAAAATAGTAATGATACCGCTCTGTTCTGTCTTGTTCAGTCCCCACCTGGAGTTTCATGTCCAGTTCTGGGCACCACAGTTTAAGATCAATATTGACAAGCTGGGACTGTGTGCACAGGAGGGCAACAAAGATGATAAAGGGTCTGGAAACAAAGCCTTGTGAGGAACAACTGAGGGAGTTGGGTATGTTTAGTCTGTAGAGGAAGAGATTAAGAGGTGATATGATAGCCACCTTCAAATATCTGAAGGGCTGGCAGTGTCACATGGAAGACAGTGCAAGCTTGTTTTCTGCTGCTCCAGAGGGTGGGGCCCGAACCAAAGGATTCAAATGACAATACAGCAGATTCCGACTAAACATTAGGAAGAACTTTTTGAGGGTAGGAGCTGTTAATCGGTAGAATGTATTTCCTGGGGTGGTGGTGGACTCACCTTCATTGGAGGTTTTTAAACCAAGGTTGGATGGTCATCTGTCAGAGATTCTTTAGCTGTGATTCCTGCATTACAAGGGGGTTAGACTTAGATGACCCTTAGGGTCACTTCCAACTCTATAAATGCCCACCCTGGGCCTGTTGGTTTGTGACAACTACCACCCAATTCCCAATACTACCCCTCCCTCCCTTTAGGAAAGGTGTTTGAGAGGGTTGTGGCACAGTAATTGCAGTTACTCTTGGAAGAAAAAGATCATTTGGACCCATTTCAGTTCTCAGTTCAGGCCCGGTTGTAATAGGAAGTAAAATATTTTTAGTTCCTAACTCATCACCTTTGTTCTTCTGAGGCTGTGGTTTTGTACTTCTTTATATTCTCTGCTTTCTTTTAAAATTAGATTGATTGAGGTACGAGGGTTTGCTAATGGATCTTTACTGTTTTCCCCTACCCCCTCCATTTATGACTTCAGGCTGGAGCAAAAGAATGGAGTACGAACCTGGAACTGGCTCCCTCGCTCTCTTTCCCAACATCCATCTGGAGACATGTGATGAGCCCATCACCTCCGTGCAGGCCACAGTTGAGCTGGAGACCAACCATATCGGGAAGGGCTGTGACCGAGATACTTACTCTGAGAAATCCCTTCACAGGCTCTGTGGTAAGTTCCTTTGGTCTGACTTAGGCCTATTGAAAATCCACGCCTTCCTTTTATCTTTATCTCATTTCAGATAGTCAGTGCAAAATCTGCATAACCCATCCCCCACAAATCAGTATTTTTAAAATCTTAAAACTTCATAAAATTAAACTATTTTGCTGTTGTTATCATCCGTCTGTCTCGAGAGACAACAGAGTGCATTTCCAGGATTAAAGTCAGAATGCTGAGTCAGCAGCACCAAAGTGACCTCCATGGGGTGCAAGCCTGGGAGACCTGGGATGCCCAGAAAACAAGACTCTTGGCCTTGCTGGTGTGATTGAAAGGAAAGCAGAGCAATGCATTTGGCACCAGCTTAGCTGCAGGACTTGCCAGAAGTACAAGGCACCATTCAACCATCTTAGGGACTGCACTTCTGATTTCTGTAGAGTTTACTCCATAGTCTTTTCTTCTCCTGAAGATATTCCACAAGGCAGTGGAGGTATAGGATCAGAGTTTTATTTCTCCTAAATAGGCTACCTTCCCAGGTTGACAAGCCCCATCTGCCCCTATAATACAACTAGAATAAATATTATGGATGGAAGTAACTATTCTTAATAAAAGGAGCAGATACTTCATCTGGTGTCTGTAACTTGTTTTTCGTTTTGTTTGAAGCCCTCAGCTTTTCTTTTAAGTGCATTTATTTCATGTACTTTGTACAGTCGGCTATTTTCTAAACACACAAATGCACACTTCTCTGTCCTCCTTCCATGCAAGCAAAGAGTCAAAAGACACATTTCTAGCCAGGCAAATACAGCGAGTGTGTGTGTGTGTGTGTGTGTGTGTGTGTGTGTGTGTGGAGCAAAACCAGTGAGACAGATAGCCTGGAGAGGGTCCTATGGGTCAGATAGAGAACCCTGGAGGGCTGCATTTGGCTCCCCGGGTCTGAGGTTCCCCATCCCTGTTGTAAGCATTGACAGACCAGAGGAGGAGGAAGGTGGGCACTCCCCTTTAGCATGTGGCCTTTAAAACAGAAAGGATAACTCATTTATTTGTGTTACGGGTTTATAACCCTCCCTTTTTTGTTGGTGTGCTGGAAGTGGCGAATGCACATCACCACTGGCACGAAATATCAGTGTGAAATTATAGCAGTCTTTATCTGTTGCGTGTGAGTTGGTCTCTTCATCATCAGCTAGCCCACAAGTCTTTATTCACAGCTTCTGCTGTCTGCCTCCTCTGGGAAAGACCAGAACTAGGCCATAAACAGTGCCGAAGGCCAGAAGAGGCAGGTGCAAACCTGCACCTATATCCCTAATAGTGTTGTATTATTCTCTCTTAACTGTAAGCTCCTTTGGGAGCCAATCTTGGCTGCATAGCATGGTGTCAGTATCTTTACAAACAATTCCCAGTGCAAGCTCTTGAGAGATGGCTTTGGTCTTCCTCCATGGCTCCTGTCAGCTGAACATTTCTCCTAGGGAACGAGCAACAATGGCAATTGTTAGGGCAGGGTTTGGTCCCTTCCCTTGCTCCTGAGAAATAAACAGCCTCTGAGTGCGGCAGCAGTGATGGCTCATGGAAGGCTGAGCTTGAGGGATTGGATGACAGAAGCCATATGAGAGGAGGGAGCTGTAAATAGTGATGGAGCCTTCTTCAATTTGAAACAAGAACTCAACAAGAGAAGTGCCATTAGAGCGTAATGCAGTTCTCAACACAAAGTGCAGAGATACTGAAGGCAGTGCAACCTGGATATTTGCCAGTGGGTTAAATGAGGGGGGGGGGCATTTTTAAAGCTGTGGGGGTCTGTCTAGTTCCACTACAGTGGAAGTTCAGGAAACAATGCTGACTCTGAATTCTTGCTGCTAATTTTGTGAAAGCCTAGCATTTTTTCCTAACAACAGATCACACACACACACACACACACACACACACACACACGTGTTTCCTTTGTTGGCAGTCTGCTGTGACATAGTTGATGGTTTTAATTGCAGGTGCTTCCTCTGGCACAGCTGAGCTGCTTCCTCCTCCGAGCAGCACGGCGAACTGGACAATAGGCCTTCCGACTGACAACGGCCATGACAGCGACCAGGTCTTCGAGTTCAACGGCACCCAAGCCGTGAAGGTCCCAGACAACGTTGTCACCGTCAACATGAAAGAGCCTTTTGTGGTTTCAGTGTGGATGAGGCATGGGCCTGGGGCCAGGGAGAAGGAGACCATCATCTGCAACTCAGACAAGACAGGTTGGAACTGGTGGGGAAGGGAACCCTGGGGCTTAAAAATGGGGGCTTTTAGGACTGGCTGAACCATTGCAATGCCACAGAATGTTAGCAAACATTCCAAGTTCTGTGAGTTAGAGGGAGGGAGAACCTGATTGCATCTGTGTAAGAATGGTTGCCCAGTGCTCACCATTGCTATTCCATTATAATGTGGCAAAGGATGCTGCAGTCTGTTCTGATTTCCTGTGTTTGGTGTGGGTGAGGGGCAGGGTTGGTGGTGGTGGGTAAATGTATCTGATTCTTCATGTTAGTGGCAGTCAGAAGTGTGGGAGTTGCTGCTTTCCAGTTTTCTCCAGCAGGTGTTGCAATATGATCCCTCAGTATGCTCATAAAAAATGAACGGAGTGCACAAAAGTCTTGATTGACATTTTCTGGGAAAACATGTTTTTCTCTTCTGTCCTGCATTTCCCCTCCCTGATTTCTTTGTCGATAGCATCAGTCTTTGAATGATGCCAACAGTACTCTGGAAGGTGGTATTGAGACAAAGGAGATGCGATCATTTGGGTTTTGTACATTGTACCTCAACAGTGCAGAAAGGAATTGCGTGTCTTGTCATCTTGGGGCTGAAGCAGCCATTTTGAGCAACTAAAACTTTGATCTCCCAAAACTTAACCTAGCCTTCCCTGAGACGTAGTTGAACTACAGCTCCCATCAGCCCCAGGCAGTCTAGCAAACAACATCTGGAGGACACCTTGGGAAAGGGCCTCTTCCTCCTTTTTGATCAGTCTCCACTTAATAAGGGGGGAAAGATCAAGGCATATCAGTCAAAAGTTGGCTGTGTTCAAAAGTGCTCTCTTCAAGCAGAAGCTTCCATGCTTTCACTTAAAAGAATTGGGGTAAGGCCAACTTAAGATGTTTCCCTTAATTAAAAAGAGATCATCTGGGATCCTGAAAATAATTAGGTTGGAGATGAAGCTTTTAAAACATAGGTGAATTATTCCATTCATTCTTGGATGTGGTTCTGCAGAAGGATGCTCTCGGCCACGGAGAATTTGATTACTGAGTACAGCAGATTTACATGATGGTTTTCTCTTATCTTGGTGGTAGTGGCTTAAAGATGGATTCATGTGAACGCATCCCCCAGTGTGTGTTGGTGCGTTGTGAATCTTTTCTGCCCCTTCTCCCAGAGGGCTCCAAAAACCCTGAACTCTGTGGCCAACTATTGTTGAGCAATCTGGATTTTTTTGCAGCTTGTCAAGCAAGCCTGTGCTCTTGAAATCCATTGTAATTCAGACCCTTTCCCAGAAACTAATTCCATGCTTTTCAGCACAGGGGAACTGTCATTAAATCCATGCACCCTTATCAGCAAAGTTGCTTTTCTGGGTCCCTTTCACACTGAATGGGGAAGCAGGAGTGCTCTTGTGTGAAAAGCCACCCCAGCTCCGAATTCCAGGCTGCAGGCTGTCACGAGACTAGCAAACCAGAATACTGCCATTTATTCTTTCACTTCAATGCTGGCCTATTTCTTCTTATTGCACCTCTGTGCAAAATTTGGCTGAGCCATTAGTTGAGAAGCGTACATTTTCCTGAAATGTCTTGGACTGTCAAAGAGCAATTACTATGGAACTGCCCTAAGGGGAGGTATTTCTGCCATGGAAATGGTCTCCCTTTGATTAGGCCTCCTGCATCCTTTTTTTGCTAAGCACCTCCCTTTACTGCAGGGGTAGGGAACCCTCAACCTGAAGGGTGCAGAGTTGGCCTGCCAGGCCATGGTATTTTGGGGCAAGCCACGCCTATCCATCCTACACCTTGCCATCATGCCTGACGTCAGGTGTGGGGCAGGTAAGGGCAAAGCGTCAAAGATAAACTTGAGAGCTTAAAGTGAATTTCTGATTGTTCCTTTGCTGAAGTAAGGCAGCAGCGTTCTCCCTCCTGGCACTGCTGCTTAACCATCTTAAAAGCAGAGTTCAGGGCTGTTTAAAAAGCCCTCATGCAAGCAGCCCTGCCCCACTCTTGACCCTGCAGTTTTCTGTAATTTAAACAGCAGCATGGGGCTTCTTGCAAAAGGGTTTTCAGGCAGCTTTGAAGTCCCGACAATCGGAGCTTCAAAGTACAGCATTTCTGGATGTCTCTGTGACATCAGGTGATTGGCAGACAGGGAGCCCCACCCACCCATCAGATTTATCCCAGAAGGGGTGTGGAGCTGAGGATCTAGCCCACCTGCTGGAAAGGTTCCCCATCCCATGCTTATGCTGTGACAAGAATGTGCTGGATTGTAACATGTATAACAGGATCCAAACGTTCACTAGCTTTACAACTGGAGGAAAGGGAAATGGTAACACATGCCTGATCTTTCTTGGGACAGATATGAACCGGCACCACTATTCCCTCTATGTGCACAATTGCCGTCTCGGGTTCCTCTTTCGTCAAGATCCTTCGGAGGGGCAGAGTTACAAACCAGCAGAATTCCACTGGAAGCTGAACCAGGTGGGTTTATAAGAGGAGGCAAACCCTGGGTGTAATATTAGATCAATAGCCAGTCTTTGTATGTCAATCTGCAGTAGGAAAAGGCCAGCCCTCTGTGAAGTGTTCGTTATGGAACCATAATGGGGTAGCGATACAGTAACACTCCTGCTTTCGGTATCTTTGACAAAATTTAGTTTTTATTATCAAGAACTGGATGTGAAAGGAAGTTATCCGGCGCAAAGTGGAGGTTCCCTCCCTCCATTTAAAAACCCTTGTACCTTTTACAGGTGTGCGACAAGGAATGGCATCACTATGTCCTCAATGTCGAATTTCCAGCAGTGACCCTGTACGTGGATGGAGTTTCCTTTGACCCTCTATCAGTGACGGAAGACTACCCGCTCCATCCCTCCAAAATAGAATCCCAGCTGGTGGTCGGAGCCTGCTGGCAAGGTAGCTTACCTTTTTTTTAGCTGCAGGCTTCTCAAAGATGGCAGAATAGTTGTAGGTCATTTGTCCAGAACTCTTGTTGTTCTAGTTTGCGGGCAAACTCCACTGAGCTTGCATCTCTGCAGTGAGACTGTGCAAGAGAACAGATGGAGATTGAAAATAGCAGTGCATTTTCAATGGGGAATGCATAGGAGCTAATTGTGCAGCCTGTTCTCTCTCTTCCTAATTATATTGGGATGTCTGTGAAGCCCAGGTGATTGGCATGCTCGCAGTCTGTTGGCAGAGTTAAATAAAAGCAAAACATTTGCTGCAAATCTTGAGAACATCAGTGGAGAAAACCTCACCTTGGAATGAAGAAGTTGTGCTTTTGAACTTGGTTAGAATTTACATGAATGCTAAATTTATTGTGTTTTCCTCCCTCTGGGGCCACACGCTTGGTTTTGAGGATTTTGACGGAGTAATTTACCCTCTGTGTCTGTGTGTTGAAGGATTTTGCTGCTTATGTCTATAAAAAGAAACACAGCAGTAGCTGTAGGTTTTAACATGCAAAGCAGGTTTAAACGGCCGTTCCCTTGAGGATGCATATTGCTGAATCACAGCCTTTAAGGCCACTGACGCTCTCCCTCGTCAGCATCTTGAGAAAATGGATTCCGGGATTCATCCCAAGAGCAGAGGAAGGGATGTAGATCACCAAATGAAGACACCTGCTGTATCTAGGCTAAAAGTGGGGCGGGGGGGAGGGAGTTAGCACCATAAATGGCATATTTATTTGTAGGATTAGTACCCAGCTAAGTCCTACTCAGAGTAGGACCCATTAAAATAAATAAATCTAAGTTAGTCATGGCCATTAGTTTCAGTGGATTTACTCTGAACAGGGTAAGCTTCAGAATACAATCCCTAACTATATTGTATCCTGCAAGACTATTTCCTGGCATATATTTAAAGCTTTTGAAATGTAATTTTAAATGTGAAAATTATATAAAGAACAGAGTCCTCAATGCCTAGAAGCACTCTCGCTGCAATGTCGGCATGTGCTGATGGTTTTCAGAATGGTTTCTCTGTGCTTCCTGATTTGGAAGGTCAAAATGGCACTTGGGTGTCCCTAAGAGGCAATTATTTGTTCCCCTTGGGTGTGTTAAGCAATTGCACTTTCATCTTATGCAGTGAGGCTTAGCAGGCCTGATGGGTCATGCCCCAGCCAGCTGTGGCTCAGGCTTACGCCTGTAGTGGAATGAGGAAGGTAGTAAGATCAAATGCACCACCTTATACTGCGTTATTGGGGGGGGGGAGAGAGACAGAGATTTGTATGCTTCCTCGCGTGTAAACTTCTGTTCAGTGGGAAAGAGCCATAGCTCAGTGGTGGAACTGCTTTTCATGCAGAAGCTCCCAGGTTCATCAGTCCTTGGCATCTCTATCATAGGGCTAGGAATGTCCCCTATCTGAAATGCTGGAGAGCTGCAGCCAGTCAGCATAGGCAGTACAGAACTAGACTGTTTAAGACAGCTTGCTGTGTTCCTGTGTCTCAAGGGAAGGGTCCTAGTGCAGATGTAGAGCACCTGCCTTGCATGCAGAAGGTTCCCAAGTTCAGCCCCCTGCAGCATCTCCTGGTAGGTCTGTGAAAGGTTTCCACCTGAAACCTGCAGTCGAATTTGTCCCTTTCCTTTCTGTCCCCTCTGAGTTCCTTCACATCATCCCTGCTACACTCTGCCGCACATGAAGATCCATCTCCAAGTGTGCTGTCTGGAAAGTGTCCTTCTGCAGTGTTCTTGGGGTTCCCTGATACAAGGCTAAGTGTTTCCTTCGCGGCAGGACCAATATAGGAAGGGGAGAGAATTTAAGAATATATATATATAGTACTGAATGCAGAGAGGGAGATGGGCATCTGGTAAACAAAGCACGTCCTCCAAGGCATGTGCACTGCGTCAGAGAAACCTCCAGGTCCTAACCACCCGGTTCCTTTTTCTCTTCTCCTTGTTCCTATCCTTTCGTCTTGCTTTTCTGCAGAATATACAGGAAATGAGAATGACACAGAAAAAGCGACCGAGACCCCTGCAGGTTGCTGGTGTTCTTACTTATTCCCCCTGTTTCACTTCTAAGCTGAGATATCGCTTCATCTCACACATAGCATGAAATGCCAGCATTGCATTATGGCCATCAAAGCTACATTATTATTGTGTTGCTGGGCTTGTTTTCTTCCATTGTGCTTCTTTTTCTTTTTCTTTTTCTTGTTTGGTTGTTTCTTGAATGTTCACTTCTTTTCTTTTTATCTCCCATTGGTGATAATTGCAAGATTAAAAGCAGTTTAAAAGGCTGCTTTGAAACGAGACGGTTTGTCAATTGCTTTGATGGTTCAGCCCTCGCTGCATGCAAAGTGAGGGCAGGTTGTTGCGGTCACTTGGAGTGCTCATTGGGCAGCAAATTGCTCCCTTGAATCGAATGGTCAATCAGAAGAGCTGCCTCTTCTATAAATTTCCATGTCCCATAACAAGAGGATGGAGGAAGCGCTGGAATGGCTTGCCAGCTGATATGTTTGGGGAGGGTCTATTACATACACAACTGTAAAACTCTTGTGACTTGCAGCTGATATTTCCAGGTCTGTTGGAAACGGTTCGGTGGATTTAACATCTCTGCTTGAGACAATTAAACCAAGACTTTCGTTAATTTTAAATGGCACCTTTTATATGAAGTGCTGTACAGAGTAGAAGAATACCTTCTAATTATTCTCATCTTGAACGGTGAAGTTAAAAACTAGCTTTTGAGAACTGTTAAATAATAGAACTAATACTTAATTTTGAAGAAGGCTGTCATCCAATTAAAGAAATCTTAGATTAATTTCTGTGGATCTTGATAGGTTACCTCTGTGTATGTGCATATGAAAGCAATAGTTCCAAGAGGTAAAAAGCGTCCTATTTTTTATTTTTTATTTTAGACTGTAGAAGTGTGTCATGGTTAACATCATATTAGAAGAGGTGTGTTGGAATAGCCCATGCAAAGATTGGTCTTCCTAGCTTCATCTTCTTCTCATAGCTTTAGGAAAGGACAGTAGCTCAGTGGTAGAGTATTTACTTTGCATGGAGAAGGCCCCAGGTTCAATCTGTTGTATTGCCAAATTGGGTTGGAAAAGACCCCTGGAGAGTTGTTGCTAGTCAATGCAGAGCTGGAAGGTCCAGTTTTCCAAGTCAGTATGAGGCAGCTTCTCACGTTCAGTAGAAGGAAACTGCTTCCAAATGAGGTACAGTGGTGCCTCGCAAGACGAAATTAATTCGTTCCGCAAGTTTTTTCTTCTTGCGAGTTTTTCGTCTTGCGATGCACGGTTTCCCATAGGAATGCATTGAAAATCAATTAATGCGTTCCTAGGGAAACCGCCTTCAGACCAGGTCCGGGGACAGTCTGTCCCCCGACCTCTTCTGAAGGCTGGGGGGGGGGACAAGGGCTTCGGGGGGCTGGGGGGGAACAAGGGCTTCGCTGCCGACCCCCAGCATTTTAAAATCTCACCGGGACACGGGGAGATTTTAAAATGCTGGGGGTCGGCAGCGAACGCTTCGCTGATCCCGGGAAGGCAGGCAGATCTGCACCGCCATCCAGAGCGGGGCGGGACTTAGCGCCCCGCTCGGGATGGCGGCACACATCTGCCTGCAGTCCTGGGACGGCAGACAGCTCTGCGCTGGCATCCAGAGCGGGGCGGGACTTAGCGCCCCGCTCGGGATGGCGGCACACATCTGCCTGCAGTCCCGGGACGGCAGACAGCTCTGCGCTGGCATCCAGAGTGGGGCGGGACTTAGCGCCCCGCTCGGGATGGCGGCACACATCTGCCTGCAGTCCCGGGACGGCAGACAGCTCTGCGCTGGCATCCAGAGCGGGGCAGGACTTAGCGCCCCGCTTGGGATGGCGGTGCAGATGTGCCTGCAGTCCCGGGACGGCAGACAGCTCTGCGCCGCCATCCCGAGCGGGGCGGGACTTAGCGCCCCGCTCGGGATGGTGGCGCAGATCTGCCTGCAGTCCCGGGACTGCAGGCAGCTTTGCGCGGCCATCTGGAGCGGGGCAGGCTTCGCCCCCGGCTCCCGATGGCCGCGCAGAGCTGTGCTGATCCCGGGACGGCAGACAGCTCTGCGCTGGCATCCAGAGCGGGGCGGGACTTAGCGCCCCGCTCGGGATGGTGGCGCAGATCTGCCTGCAGTCCCGGGACTGCAGGCAGCTTTGCGCGGCCATCTGGAGCGGGGCGGGCTTCGCCCCCGGCTCCCGATGGCCGCGCAGAGCTGCGCTGATCCCGGGACGGCAGACAGCTCTGCGCCGCCATCCCGAGCGGGGCGGGACTTCTCTGCTGTCCCGGGGAGATTTTAAAATGCTGGGGGTCGGCAGCGAACGCTTCGCTCCCGCCCGCCAGCATTTTAAGATCGCCCGGGGCAGCGGAGAAGTCTCCGCTGTCCTGGGAAGGCAGGCGGGGGGGGAGCAAAGACTTTTGCCCCCCGCCGGCCTTCAGAAGAGGTCCAGGACCTCTTCTGAAGGCCGGCTGTGGGCGAAAGTCTTTGCTCCCGACCGCCAGCAATTTAAAACAGGTCCCCGGAGATTTCCCTATGGGCTTTCGTCTTGCGAAGCAAGCTCATAGGGAAATTCGTCTTGCGAAGCGCCTCCGAAACAGAAAACCCTTTCGTCTTGCGGGTTTTCCGTCTTGCGAGGCATTCGTCTTGCGGGGTACCACTGTAGCTTCCTGCATCTGGTGTCTAATTGAGTGGCAATTGTTACTTGGATGGACTGTTGTGTAAATATTTTATTTAAGTGCAGTTTCCATACTGCAGCCACGAAGGTAGCCTTGGCCTTTTGAAGAGACTGCTTCTAAGGGAGAAAATCCTGTTTTTGATGACCAAAGGATTGTACCACTTTCCTTCAGCACTGAGTAGGGTCATTCCATCCTCGCCTCAAAAGCCATATTTATTGCATGAGTGGACGTCTTTCGTTCTTTTTGAGTTCTCTACCCCACCCCCCTTGTGCTTGAACATACCTGCAAGGTTAACACAAGAATGGGCACTAAACTAACCTGCATGCCAGTTTTAAGAACAAAAGCACAGTTGGCACTTTAAACAAATGCACGTACCCCCCTGGAGCAAACTTGTATGATGCTCAAGATGTCTTCCTTTGCTCCATAAAGGTGGAGAGCTCCGCATGGCCCAGTTCTTCCGAGGCAATTTGGCCGGCTTAATGATCCGCTCTGGTAAACTGGAGAACAAGAAGGTGATTGACTGCCTTTACACCTGCAAGGAAGGACTGGATTTACAGACGTCAGACGGCGTCGGCAAAGGCCTGAAGGTAAACTTGTGCAGCAGAGGGACCCTTGATCCATTGGCAGAACAGAGAGCAATTAGGATGACATGTTATGTGTCTCTCTCACACACACACATCCCCCTCTCCTTTCTCTAATGAGAGCAGGAATGACGTCTCTCCCGGCACCGCCTGGTGTCTCTAAAGCAGGGGTGCCTAAAAGGAGGAAATCAAGGCCAGGGAGCAGATAGCATGAGCTCCCAGCAGAGCTGATCTGCTAGGGCAACCACTCCTCCATCTTCCCTGAGGCTACTTAAAACTTGCATGCCCTGCAGGAAGCCAGGATCCAGGATGCTCAGAGTGGCATTGGGAGGGTGTGGGTGGGCTTTTGCCACCAATCAGCCTGAGAGGACCCGATTGCTCTGTATTGTAAACCGTCTCTTTATTTTAGCATTTTAATTTGGCCTTGGATGCCTTGGCAGAAAGACAGTATACAAAAGCAATGACGTAAACTATTGGACCAGGAACTGCGTTCAAGCCTTGGGCATGGTTAGGAAGGATGTGTTCAGTGCATACATGGGTACACACTTGCCACTCACACACAGCACATGCACTGCACGCATTTGTTTTTAACTTGTATTGTGTATTACTGTAAAGTTTGTTGCCGCTTCAGTTTTCTGTACACCACTTAGAGGCACTTCTTATATATTAAGCAGTGTAAAAATGTTCTAAATAAATATGGAAGATGCATTCGGATTATTTATGTTTTAATTGCCATAATATTGGGGAGCTGCTGCCAGTCAGTGTATACAGAGCTAGATGAGCCGTTGGTCTGAAACGGCTCCCTACGTGCCTGGGATTAATAATCATCCCATAAATTTGCTTGGAATTCTCTTGTATTGGGAGAAGCAAATTGAGGGAGAAGAATTCTCCCCCGCCCCCATACACCTTTCTTCTCTTTACTTGCTGAGGCATGGAGAACTGCGACCTTGCAGTGGTAAGGGGGTTGCGGCAGCATGGAAAATATGCATGCAGAAATAGATGGATTACTGGAGATTTAGGAACCTGCCCGGTCCTGAAGATGTTTTCTTGGATGGTGAAATACACCCACAGTTACTGTGTTGCTACTTTTTCAAGCTAATTGGGGGCAGGCAGGCAAATCCCAGTTAATAAATTACTCTTTAAGCAATAACTGTTGAAGAAACAGAGAGAGGAAGCTGCCTTATACAGAGTCTGACCACCAGTCCCATTTAGCTCAGTAATGTCCACACAGGTTGGCAGCAGCTCTCCAGGATTTCAGACGGGGACATTCCCAGTCCTACCTGGAGAATCAGGTTCTGTGATCCCTGACTTTTGGCCCTTCCCTAAAGACCTAGGGACACAGTCAGTGTGGACTATACTGAGCTAGATGGACCAGCTCTCCAGGATTTCAGGCAGGAGTCTCTCCCAGCCCTACTTGGAGATGTTTAGGATTGAAACTGGACCATCTGCATGCAAAGCAGATGCTCTACCACTAAGCTACTGTCCCCCTTCCTGTCTCTGGACAGAGGAGTCTTGGTCACAGAATTGCTTTATTTTAGCACTTCCTGGGTCTGATCTCTTTCCTGCCCCTGCTGCCCCTTCTCACTTCTTCTCTCTGCCTGGTCTTCCAGATCCACATGAACCCGAGCCAGTCAGTGTTGAGCTTGGAAGGAGACGACATTGACCGGTTTGACAAGGCCATGCAGCACATCGCCTACCTAAACTCCCGCCAGTTCCCCACACCTGGGATCCGGAGGATCAAGATCACAAGCACCGTGAAGTGAGTTTCCCTTTGGGAGCAAGCCATATGAGACTCGGGGTCGTGGGTTTGAGCCCCACATTGGGCAAAAGTTTCCTGCATTGCAGGGGGTTGTTGTTGTTGTTATTTATTCAGCTTATAAACTGCCCTATACCTGGAGGTCTCAGGGCATTTCACAACAAGACCACAACATCAAACCAAAAGCACTAACCCAGTAACCTCCCACCCCCCCAAGCCACATTCTAAAAGGGCGTTGGATGTCAATAAGATCAACCAAAGACCTGGTTAAAAAGGAACGTTTTCGCCTGGCGCTTAAAGGTGTATAATGAAGGCGCCAGGCGAACTTCCCTGGGGAGAGCATTCCATAGACGGGGTTGGACTAGATTACCCTCGTGGTTCCAACTCTACTCAGTTGTCTTGAAGATGCCTCCACATCTCAGGGGTAAGATTATTATGGTTATCAAAAGAAACGCCATGTTGCATCTGCAGCAGCACAACCAGATGCCTTCATCTGCCCCAGCTGCAACAAAACATGTCTCTCCCGTATCGGTCTCTACAGCCACAGCAGGCACTGCAACCTTCCAACAGTTTGACTTCTCCCCCAAAGGAACACTCTTCCATTGTCTTCCAAGACAGACGGATGCCAACCAGTTTTTCAGAAAAGTGACTCGAAGCGTCTTGTGGAAGCAAACAAAAACAACCCAAATTACTCGCTAGCAGCATGCATAAAAGGCAGACCCAACTCTGCCCTATTGAAAAGATGAGGGGAAGAAGAGGGTCCCCCAAACATACTCCACCCTCCCAAACAGAGGTCCAGAGGCCTGGGGGGATAAAAATATGTTTGCCAAGCAACTGAAATCACATAAGGGATGGTACCAGGCGTATCTTCCTGGGGACAGCATTCCACAGATGAGGAGCCACCACTGAGCAGAGAATGAAGGAGTTCCATAATGGAGGATGCTAGGCTCTTGTTCTTTGGGCGTGGCACGCACACCCTGTCCTTAAGAGGAGAACCCTCTGAATGTGCCCACGTGTTTTATCTTTATTTAGATCATTTGTGCCCCACTCTTTATCCAAACCGTGGCTTACCTACAATTAATTAAAACAAGATAGTCCTTGCCTGCAGGCTTACAATCTGCAGGGCATGACACAAAAGGGACAGGGAGGGAGGAGAGGAAAAAGCAAACTCAGGCGCCAATTCTTAAATAGTAGTTATAACCGCCATCTGGCATAGAGACAGCTCAGGGGCAGAGGCAGAGCTGATGTGTGGTTTCTAAGATGATCAGTGCCCACATTTCAGACAGGCCCTCTTTCTTACAGTTAGTCCTGTGCTGTGTGTCTTGTCCTCCTGGGATACCTACCGCCCTCTCTCTGGCATTGATGGCAACCAGCTCCTGTCACCTTTCCCCGTTTTTTTGGCAGGTGTTCCAACGACGAAGCCTGCATCGCCATCCCCTTTGTGGACGGCTACATCATGGTCCTGCAGCCTGAAGAGCCCAAGATCAGCCTGAGTGGCATCAACCACTTTGCCCGCTCGGCTTCGGAGTTCGAGAGCCCCGAAGGGGTCTCCCTCTTCCCTGAGCTTCGCATCATCAGCACCATCACGCGGGAGGTTGAGCCGGAGGGGGAGGGAGATGAGGACCCCACAGGTAAAGCCCACTCACCTAGCTTGTGCAACACATACATCGGCTAGTGGCTTGGGGGTAGGGTCTGACACAGCCCCTGTTTGGAGGGATTATCAGAAAACCTTGGGGGAGAGGCTGGGATGGGGGTGGACAGAGAGTAGTAGAGACAAGGTGGGGAAAACAGTTAGTGTTGGGGGGAAGGGGCAATGGCTACTCCAGGTAGGACTGGGGAAGATTCCTTGACTTTGAAACCCTGGGAAGCTGCTGCTGGTCAGTGCAGGCAGAACTGAGCTAGATGGACCAATGGTCTGATTAAGTGTAAGGCACCTCCTGTGTCTTAAAGGAAGGGCCGTGGCTCAGTGGTAGAGCATCTGCTTTGCATGCGGAAGATCCTGTGTTCCTTTCCTAGCATCTCCAGGAAGGGCTAGTAGAGACCGAAGTCCTAGAGAGCCAGTGTCAGTCACACAGGCAGTACTAAGCTCAATGGGGCCAGTGGCTTGACTCAGTCTAAGGCAGCTTCCTAATGTAGAAAACATTCAAGAGTCTAGTCCTGAAGCAAACCCTTAGGCAAATGGGTGAGCCCTGTGTCGGCAAAAGCTTGGAAGCAAAGAAGACTCTCTTTGTCCTGCCTTCCTGATCTTCTCCTCCTCCTCTCCTTTGCAGTCCAAGAATCACTGGTGTCTGAGGAGATCATGCACAACTTGGATACCTGCGAGGTTACGGTGGTTGGTGATGAGCTCAGCCAGGAGCAAGAGAGCTTGGAGGTCGACATGGTCAGGCTGCAGCAGAAGGGGATGGAGATGAGCACTTCCAACCTGGGCATGATCATCACCGGTATTGCACTTTCTTCCTCTGTACCTGAATGTGCTTGAAGTCTTAATTGCATTAATAAGGCAAAGACCCCAGAGATACCAAGAGATGACTTAAAGTCTTAAATATATTTCAGTTTAGAGTCACAGTGATAAACCATTTTCTGAGCTGGCTGGTATTTACAGAACTGAAAGCAAGCTTTTTAAAAATGTTATTTAAATTTCCCTGGAGGTCCCCTCAAAAATACATTATGAAAACCTGCATTCCTGTACATAAACGTTTAACAATATACAACTGCAAAACACATTCTTAAGTGATCCACAAGTTTGCATAAACCTTTGGAGCTGGTCTTTGGTTTTCAGGAGAATTTGTAGGCAAAATTAAGCTCCTTCATTCTCTTACAAAGGTATCTTTGTGCTTTGTTCCTCTTGTGTGAAAGCAAGAATAAGGCATCCATGCTTCCTCTTAAAGGTGGCTTGATCTCTCATCAGAGAAACAGTGGGCTGTATCCAGTGTCAGTCCTGCTTAGAGTGGACCCATTGAAATCAATGTGTTCAACTCACTTGCCTCCATTAATTTCAAGGGGTCTAGACTTAGTTGGAGATAATGCATAGTGTCTCACTTGTTCATCAGCCAAGACAGCTCTGCCTTAATGGCAGCATTCAAGTGCCACAAGAATCGCCACAGAATAAGCGCAGGGGACATTTTTGTTAGGCCAGACATGGAGTGTCTGTCCCCTCTTCCTCTCCACTTAGCTGGGATGTTTAAAGCATTGGTACTGGTTAGATAGGTATATGATTCTGATATGTCAAAGGGCAGTTCTGTTGACCCCTTTCGCACCAGGGATGGAGAAGCCTGTGAACCTTCAGATGTTGTTGGACTCCCAGCTCCCATCAGCCCCTGCCAGCATGGCTGGGAATCAGGGTCCAAGTCCAGTAACATCTAGAGAGCCACAGGTTCCCCAGCCCTGCTGCAAACAAGCCAGGAAGCATGCTATTCTCTGTAGTTCCCCTTTTCATTTGATCCGGAACACTGTGGTTCAACAGCTTTGGAACATGCAACGTCAAACCACAGCTTACTGTCTTGGCTTGTTTTCAACCTATTAACCATAATTTGCTATACTTTCCCAGTTTGGGTTAAACAGGAAACTATGCTTAATGGAATACTTCCTCGTTTATTCCATTAATTTATTAAAAATATTTCTTAAACCATAATTTATTAAAGACAATGATGTAAATCCTTCATCTCAATTAACATGCAATATGGAATGTTTAAGGCACCTTATGTAGCTGAAGGTTTTATATTGGCATTTTTACCTCCCCAGAATTTTGATATTTTTCATGTTCTTGACAGATTTCTGCTGTAACTGGTATCGGGGGCTACATTTCAGGTGGGGTGGGAGTACTTAGGTAGCAGTTTGGATGTTTTGTATAAAAATGCAACTTTCATATATATGAGAGACACCTCCCCCCCCCCCCCAGTGCCCTCACCAGCATTTTGTGTTACCTCTAGGGGTTGATACTATGGCCAGCTATGAAGAGGTTTTGCACTTGATTCGCTACCGCAATTGGCATGCAGTGTCTCTGTTTGACCGCAAGTTCAAGCTGGTATGTTCGGAGCTGAATGGGCGCTACGTCAGCAATGAATTTAAAGTGGAGGTACGTCAGCAAATGTTGGCTTCAGGAGGCCTACAGGGACTCCTAGGGGTGTTTTGAGGAACTGGGCCCATTAGCTGAAACACCAGCTAATACCACACAGAGAGCTAATGTGCATCACGAGTTGAAATATAAAGCTGCCTCACGCAGAGTCCATCTGCAAGGAGAGGGTGTCCCTTAACATGGCATTTTGTCAGTCATGGTTTTTATCCTTTTTTTTAAAAAAAGAAGCTGCTAACTGATTCAGAAACACCTTTTTTTAGTCAATTGAAACAGCAGTTGTCACAGTCCTGGTGATGCTCATTTTATGAAGCATCTAGCTGCCGTACAGAAAATTATAGTGGATCCTCTCTGTAGGATTACAGCAGAACATGAAAAGAGCCTTGCTGATGGGTCTGGCCAAAGGCCCACTCGTTCTACGATCCTGGTCCCATGGTAGCCTACCACAGGCCTATAATGGCAGTGCTCTCCCCACTTGCAATTTCCAAAAACTGGCCTTAAGGGGCATCCTCCTTCCAATAATGGGTCATAGTCATTGTGGCTCATAGCCATTGAAATCCTTCCTTGTGAGTTGGTCAGATCCACAAAGCCTTTCCTTTGGTCCTGAATTTTCCACCATTCTTCTTCATTGGGTGACCCTACTGGGTCCTACTATTATGAGTCGTGTGTATGTAGAAAATTGGATGCGGAAATGAGGGGGCTAGTTCTCACTCAGCTAATCCCAAATTTAATTTCCCCTTTTCTCTTCCCACTTGCCTGTCTTTTGTTTCACCAGGTAAACGTGATCCACACCGCCAACCCCGTGGACCATGCCAGCCACATTGCAGCACAGCCTCAGTTTGTCCAGCCCGTCCACCATTCCTTTGTCGACCTCTCTGGCCACAACCTGGCTAGCCCTCACCCAGGATTTTCAGGTAAGGGCTCTTCCTGCCTTGGATGAACCTCCTTTGACGACTGCTCTGCCCCCTCCAACCCACTCAGATAAAATCCTCTTCAGAGAGGCTCTTTTGCCACTTAGGAGAGGCAGATCTCTGGCTCTCTTCCCAGAGGTGGCTGATATATCAGTCTAATTGCATCCAAGCAGCACTTAATGTCTTGGGGGATATGAAATTCAAGTCTCCCCATGAGGCACAGATAGCCTGCTAGATTTCTTTAAAAGTAGCCTTCGTTTATTTTAAAAAAGAAAAAAGGAATTACAGCCTGTTTCTCCTTGAGCTCTCGGGAAAGAGGGAGCTTTTCCTTTCCTTTTTTAAATGATTGCCAAGCCTGATGTTGGGATTTCACTGAAAGGTTACACTGTGTGGAGTTACTTGTGGGCATTCCTAGGCCCCAACACACTTAGCACAGCCTTCATCAGCCCCAGGGGTGGGGGAAGCTGATGGGAATTGTAGTCCAAAAGATCCAGAGGGCATCAGATTAGCTGAACTAAGCTTTCTCTGCCATCTGTGAACAAGAGTACAATTTGTTTGGCAGTTTCAACAATGGAGAATCAGGAAGAGGCTGGCAGAATAATTCACAAACCAGTGAAGGGAGCACGGGATGGGCATTCATAACCAGAGACTGTGGGTTCCAGTCATCTTTTGACCTCTGCCCCTTAGCAGCCTTGTCATGAGGCTGGGCCTCAATGAGAACCATTAGCCTTGGAAGTTGGAGTGAAGCAGTTAGGAGCAGCTTATGCTTCAGAAATGTAGATGAGCTGACTGTACAGTTGCTTGGGAACTAGTGTACCTTTTTGTAACTACATGTTATAAACATGCAAACTGAGCAAGCATCATTTTTAGGGGGTGGTTTCCCGTATCACGCACATAGTGTGATTCTCTAGTGCTTCCTTTTCCAAAAGAACCTGAGTAGTTCTAGAAAGATTCCCCTGTTCTCCTCACCAGCATGGCATGTGCTGCCTGCTTCTTCCTCTTCTGTGACCATCTAACTGTGCAATCTGCCTCCGTCTTCCAACCCTCTCCTAGTGGTCCCAAGCACTGCCACTGTTGTGATTGTGGTCTGCGTCAGCTTCCTAGTATTCATGATCATCCTGGGCGTGTTCCGGATCAGAGCTGCCCACCAGCGGACGATGCGGGACCAGGATTCTGGGAAGGAGAATGAGATGGACTGGGACGACTCAGCCTTGACCATTACTGTCAACCCCATGGAGGTAAAGCTTGTGCGGTGTTGTGGGTTTCTCTGTGTGGGTTCCCTCCTCTCCTCTTCCCCCTCCTTTCGCTCTTGCACTTTATCCAAGAGGGCAGGGTACAGATTCCTCTGGGGCTTCGTTCTTCAATAGGTGGTCCAAAGTTTGCATCGTGCCTGCTGAGCTACAGCCAGCCCCCCAAGGGAGCCCACCCTTATCTCACCATTACTGGCATTCCTCTGCCACCAGCGCTGCAGCATCTTCCTCTGGCTTTTATTTAAAGGCCTTGTATGTGAGAGGCGGGCCTGATGCTAAAGTTTATGAAGCATTTCACCCTTCACTAATTGATTTGAAAAAGGGTGGTGGTGGTAGGGACATCATTCGGACCTCCAGGCCTCTCTGGCTGGTCCTCAGGACTCTTCCCAAGCCACACCCCTCACTGGCTTTCCCTGAGTGCCTTTATCCCTGAATGGAATGCAATCTAAAGGGAGCCAGCTCTTGGAAGTTGTACAGGCAAACACACCAGCAATTGACGTCTCTCAAACACAAGACATCCATTAAACTGCTGTATCCTGAGCCGACTGAATTTTCCAAAAGTGTCCCTCAGCTTGTTCTCTCCCTGAACATTCCTGGCTTCTGGCCAGCATGAAACATCTACTTGGGCTGACCAGCCTCTGGAACTCAACTGCTCTCTCCTTCCCCTGGACAAGAGATTGCCTGTTGCTGAACTCTGTAGGAGAGGCGCATCACCCTGCCTGCATTTGGAGCTGCGTTGGTCTTCGGCTGGAGTCATGGGCTTGTATTGTCTACCTATGTGGGGAAGAGCAAGCCAGAGGAGACTGGTAGAAGAAAGGACTTGGGAAGAAGGCCTCAGAAGTGAAAAAACAACATCACAATGGGTCATTGCTTGTGGGCTTCCCATTTGTGAGAACAGCATGGCCCTTCTTACTCGTTTATAAAGTATTTACCACTCTTTCAGTAAAAAAAAAAAATTATCAAAGTGGATTGCAACAAAAACGCATGAAAGCAAAAGTTTAAAACAGGCATCAATTAGCTATTGTGGAAATATGGCTTCTTCATTGCCTGCCTAAGCCTGGCAGAATAGACAAGTTTTCAGTAGGCATTTAAAAGTTGCAACAGAAGGTGCCTTGCATTATGTCATATTCAACTAAACATCTACTCCGAATATACACCTTGAATCTAATTGAACCAAGTACAGTGGTACCTCTGGATACGAACGGGATCCGTTCCAGAGCCCCGTTCGCATCCAGAAGCGAATGCAGCCTGCGCATGTGCATGTCGCGATTCACTGCTCCTGCGCATGACGTCATTTTGACCGTCTGCACGTGCATGAGTGGCGAAACCCGAAAGTAACGCATTTCGTTACTTCCGGGTTGCCGCAGAGCGCAACCTGAAAGCGCTCAACCTGAAGCACATTCAACCCGAGGTATGACTAGTTGTTGTTTTTTATTATTACTGTACTAATTTATCTCCTGCCTTTCCTCCCTGACTGGGACAAAAGGCAGCATTCACAAACTGAAACAACTCAGATAAAATTCAAAAAGCTAGAATCATATAAAAGGCAGTAAGTTGAAATGTAATCATTCTCTAATAGGATTCAAATGGTATAAAAGGTAAATCTGTTAAAATACCGATAGCAAACAAGCAGAGCACTGCTCCTTAAAAAACAACCCCTGCCCAGTGGCCTCTCTTAATGTCAGCGGGGGCTGCTCCAAGTAGAACTAGCATTGGTTGCAATGCCATTCATCCTTTTTTGTGTCTTTGTTTTCCTTGCAGACATACGAGGACCAGCACAGCAGCGAGGAGGAGGAGGAAGAAGAGGAGGAGGAGAGCGAGGATGGGGAGGAGGAGGACGACATCACCAGCGCTGAGTCCGAGAGCAGTGACGAAGAGGAGGGGGAGCGGGAAGAGGACCAGCAGAACGTGAACAGGCAGCAGCAGCTAGAATGGGATGACTCCACGCTCACCTATTGATCCCAGCTCCCTCCGCTGTTGTATGTCTCTCTCTGTCTGTCTCTCTCCTTTGTTCTTCTGCCCTAGAAGACTCCGCGGCAAAACCACTCCATCGCTCCTGAGAATCCATGGCGTGAACAGAGTCGCTTAGGCCCCCAGAGCTGACCAACACTCCCCCCCCTCCCTAGACCCCCTGTCCTGGTGTCCTGTCTCTTCTTTCCTGGCTAATCTCACCAATCAAAATCTCGCACCTCTAGAAATTTATTTAGTACCTATTTCTCCCTCGCCTCACAATGACTGGATTATTTTTATTTCTACTCTGCAAGGAACTGCCTTGTGCTATCTGTCTCTCTCACTCACACACTCCTTGTGTCATCTCATTTAAGGGACGTGACCAGCCCTCTAGTCATTGCACACGCTAGACCATGATTTTGAGGTTTTTTTAATCTTATTTTTGGTCCGGCACTAGGCTTCTGGCGTCGTTTCTCATGCTTTCTTGTTGGGGTGGTTGAGTGTAAAATAATAATAATAATAATGCCAGGATCCTTCTCTCACAAAAAGATTAACTTTTTTAAAACTTTTGGGTCGGATTTATTATTATTTTTATTATTATTATTTTGTGGCTTGTTACATCCCTGTGATTCTTCTTCTTCTTTTTAAATGCATTTCTTTTCCTCCTCCTGAACTCTAGTGCATGTGTAAAGTGGCAGAATGAGGTTAACTATGTTAGAAGATTTAACAGACTTTTTAATATTTTGTAAATAATCTTGGAATTATGTAATTACGTCATTTGTGGTAGTGAAAACGGGGGAAGGGGGGAGGGGGGGACACAGGCCATGCTAGGGTTTTAAAATCAAAAATCATGCCGCATGATGTAATAATAAGGTTTTGGGTTTTCCTCCCCACCAAAAATTCCTGCAGCAGCAGCATGGGGCAAGTTTAATTAGCGTAGAGGAAAAGCTAACGACGATCCAATGGCATTGGATTAGACTGCCATCTTCTCTCTGGCACAACTCTACTGATGGGTTTCTCCCCTTTTTATTTTTTTATATTTTATTGTTGTGGGAGGGGGTGGCAAAAAATGATTTGACCATGAAGGCATATTCATGGGACCCCCCCCCCCCTTTTCTGGGTCCAACTGTCCTTCCTCTTGCATTCTGGGTCCTGGTCTGTTTCAGTTTTAGGGACAGTAAGGTGGGCTGGCCAGATCACACAATTTCTTTTGCACAAAGGGAGACAGCCCAGTTGGACCACTTGGGCCTGGTGCTCTCTCTGGGTTGCACACTACTAGTCACGCAGGTGGCTCGGTTGATTGTAAAAAGACAGTGTCGCAGGAAGGGTGCTTCTGTTTTGGCTGCCTGTCTTAAGTCGTGAACTTGAATATACATTTTGGAGAGGAGGAGGTCAGGTCGACTTTCCTTGCTGGCATCATTCCTGTTTTTTTAAAAAAACAAACACTCCTGTCCATTGCCTGTAGCTCCTTTGGTACAATTAACGTGGGGACGTTGGGTCTCTTTTTATTATAAGCTTCCGTTCTCTTCTTTTGGTCGTTGTTTACACTGAACATATGCGCTACCTTTCTGTCAAAACTAGGGCATAAGTTATTCCCAGTGGTGACCTTGTGAATACTCTTTAATTAAGCAGTTTAGTCCACAAGGTTTGGAGATGGGGCAGGGGGTTGTCGGTGGGAAGACCATGCCCAGTAAAATATTTCACCCCAATTTGGAAGGGACTGGAGTGGTTTTCCGAAAAGCAAGTTATGACCCCGATGGCAGTGGTGAGTGCTGGGCTTTTCATTAGACATGTGGTCCTCCCTCTCCTCTGGTTTAACTTTTTAGAAATCACTATTCCTTGAGAGAGCCTCAAGTTTATTGCTTTTACAGTTGATTTATTCCCCTGAAGGGGTGTTCTGCTGAAGCTTTTCTTTGTTGTGTGGGTTGCGTGCTAAGGTGAGCCAAGTTCTGACCAGCTGCTTTGCATGAGGGGGGAAAAATCTGGCTGCGTTGCAGTTTTAGGAGTTTGAGCATTGGATTCAGCAGAGCCGGGGGAGAATGTTGGCTGCTGGAATGTCTGTTTGTGGGGAGGCGGTTGGCTTGATCCAGGTGGTTGGAGACAGCAGTGAGGAAATAGTGTGAGACCTCCCCTCATTGGTAGAATGTCTGCTTTGAATGCAGAAGGACTGCAGCTTCAGTCCCCTGTGGCATCTCCAGGTAGAGCTAGGGATGTCCCTCCTGAAAGTCCTGGGAAGGCACTGCCAGTCAGTGCAGATATTACTGAGCTAGATGGCTGGCTTGGTATAAGGCAGCTTCCTGCAAGATGCTTCTGGACCTGGCATTTTTAATCTCTTACTACCTAGCAGCAGGGTTTGTTTTTGCGTAGGGATGAAGACCTTGCAGCACTCCTGATGTTGCTGGGCTCCTGCCCCACAGCCAGCATGACCAATGGTCAGGGATGATGGGAGCTGTGTCTGCAGGGGCAGAGTCCCCATCCCTCAGTTAGAGGAAAGTCTCTCTGGAGTGCCTTTTACAATAGGGTGGACCTGACGATAGGGAAAGGCTAAGCCCCGAACAACTTGGCTCATTCCTGCTCCCTTTGGAGGTGTGGGGGGGTTGTTTAATTGCAAAATGTTGAGGGGCAAGGAAGTTGGTTTTGACCACTTGTTACAAGTGCTAGTTTGAAGTAAAACAAAACAAAACGGGAAAACTTTTAACTTATGTCCAAGTTGCCCTGTGCTTTAAATGTCACTGTGTAGAGAAGACTCCTTAACCCTCTTTTTCATGATACCATCACTGTAGCAGCTGTATTTTAGAGACTGTAAACCTGATCATGACACTCTCTCTCTCTCTCTCTCTTTTAAATGCTAATGCTGAAAGGTTGTACACTTTTTCTGATGCAGTATGTAGCCATCATGGATCTAACATTTCAGATGTGTATATTGGTAAATAGGTCAAGTTTGGGGTGGGTGGGGAGTCTGAGCTACAATAAATTTCTGGTTCTAAATTTTTCTTTTGTTATTGTCAAACTTTCTGCCTCTTTGTTAGGCCTCTGAGCTGATTTCTTTCTGCCTAGCAACTGAATGTCTTTTTTTAATTAACCTATACTGTTTAGGAAACAAAATGTGTAAGTGTTTTTCTGTCAGGGCTTCTTAAAAGAAATGGAGGCTATAAACATTGCACCTTGGTAACATAGATTTGGAAGCAGGATCTGATGACGGTATCCTCTTAAGTTATTTTGTGCTTGTACAGGTAAGGGCCGTAGCTCAGTTGTGGAGCGTCTGCCTTGCAAGCAGAAGGCATGGCCAGGTATGGTTGGGAGAGACACCTGCCTGAAACCCTGGAGAGCAGCTTCCAGACTGTGTTGACAATACTGAGCTAGATGGCCCCCTGCTCTGACTTATTATAAAGCAAAGTAGGTCTTTGAAAAGTTTTGGGCCCAGAAAAGGAAATTTAAGTATATCAAAAGTCTTCAGTTTTGCAAAAAGGCAGTTTGGAACCTGGGTGTTGAGGCATCCTTGCTCATTCTGCCTTTTGCAAATAGCTGTAAGCTGGTCACATGTTGAACATTATTATTAGTGGCCCTTGCAGCATACCAACAAGACAGTCCAACTGCTAATAAGAAATGACAAGGACACACCTTAACAAAAACAGCTATATTTCAGTCCCCAAACCAAGCACCTGAAATCACATGTAAACCTTTATAAATGCAAATCTTTGGCTTAAGCCCCACATAGGAACAAAAAACAGTTCAGAATCTGCTTGTACATAGTACCTCAAGGCTGTTTTCTTTACAGTTATTGGCTAAGTATAGGTGAAACAAAAAAATTACTTAGCACAGTGACTATCCACTACTCTTAAGTGTAAGAGTTTTGATCTTTACTACAACCATGCAAGTTAAAGCATTGCAGGAGACACCGTCACCTGTAGCATTTCTTTTTTTTTTTAATAGAGGTGAGGGTGCATGTGTTACACAAAAGAATCCAGAAAAGAAAGGCATCAAATCCTCCTCCTAGAGAGCCCAGCTCTTCTTCCGATTTTGGAGGTTTTCACACTACAAATATCTCTGTTCAACCAGTGAACAAGTAAAGTATATCTAGCACACGCTTTATCAGTATAAAATACACAACACACAAAACCACACATACCCCTTTCAAAGCCATTCTTTTAAAATGCATGTGCTGGAAGAATGCTGCTAACTGCTTTGCCCAAAGGCCCAGTCCTCACTCTGCTGAGAGGCCAAAGCAATCTTGAAGTTACAGAATGCCTGTACAAGGACCTCCTGTAATCCATGAATGGACTCACAAACACACACAAAGATGTGCAGGAGGAGTAGCTTTCCAGCAAGAAAAGACTCAAGCAGTCGCATAAATAGCCAAGAAGTGGGAAACCTTTTCTTGGAGGGTCCATTTCAAAGGATGGGCAGGTAATGGGGGCTTCAGCCCCCCCAAATAATATTGAGAGGGGGCAGCAGCTCTCTGCCGCCAACTCTTCACTCCAAGGAAGCTGTCTTGGCAGCTCCCTCACAGGCCAAAGCCAGGCTCCAATGGGAGCCTGTTGAGGGGAGGGGGCTGGTCACATGTATGATGTGATCCCCCCCCCAAATGTTGGGCACAACTCGGTGCGCCTGGTAGGTAGATAAAAGAGGCTTAGAGAACTATTGCCTGTTGTCCTTGGACACATTGTGAGCCAGCCAGTTGACTTTGGTTTTCCAGCTCTCCCGCAGGGCTTCGTTAAACTTGAGCTGGAAGTGCTTCCTTGCCTCTTCATCCGTCTTCCCTAATGCCAACGAGTCCTAAGGAAGGAGGAAAAAGGAACTAAATTTATTGTTTTATTTTTAGTTCAGTTTCTTACCCGCCCTTCACCATAAGGTCCCAGCAAACAAAAACACAGTATTAAAAACAATTTAAGACAGGGGTTCTCAAACTGGTCAAGTGGACCACAGCATTGTCCATGCTCCATATCCACATTGATTTTTAACTCTGTTTTTATTGCTGCTTTAATTTCTTACATATTATAGTTTGTTGTCTTCTGTGGAATTTTAAACGCAGTACAACGTGTAAGAAATGAAGCTACAAAAACATGATTGAAAATCGTGCAACACCTAACAATTGCTGTGACGGGCAGAAATATTCAGTGGTCTGTGGGGGAATTTTGGGGGCAATGGGGTCAGCCTGCTGTAAAGGTGGGTCCTTGCCTGACCTTAAGGTTCCCTTCAAACCTGCCTGACCTCTCTCTCACCTTGAGATACTGGATGTCTTTGGAGCAGCTTAGCTCCGGCAGCCCCGCTGCTTTCATCAGTGCAAACAGGTGTAGAAAGAGGAGGCCGTGGCATCGGAGGATCATGTAGGCTCTTTCGCAGTACTCTCTGAATCTGGAAGGAAAAAGGTATGAAATGGAAGTGGATGGAAGGGAGGACAATGCTTCCCTCCCAGATAAATAAATAAATCACACAACTTAATCAAGGATTTGCACTTGATACAATTGTACACAGCAACATATACATAGAGCAACTCATGGGCTTTGTGGACTGCTTAGTACAGCCCATTGCCAGAACCCAACTCTACACACACCGTCTATAAAAACAAGCAAATGTATAATTAGTTAGATAATTTGTAATACCTCTTACACCACTGATTTATTAATTGCCTTCTAAGCCATAGTCTCAAGGTGTATTACATGCAAGATAATTAAAAGCATTTTAACACACAAAAACAATGAATAAATTTAAAACAAGACTAAAACCTTAGCAAGTGGCCTTAACACACGTTACAGACCATTCATCAGGTTTGGGGGGGGTGTCTTCACCTGTTTCCGAAAGTGCACATAGTGGGCTCCTGCCGTATCTCGAAATGCTATTCCACAGAAGGGGCATCCACAATAAATGCCCTGCTCTGAGTTATTGCAGAGTACACTTCAGAAGTCTTTGAAACTTGCAAAAGAAACCCTCCCGCAGACTGCAGCAATCTACTGGGTGTGTAAGGCACAAGGCGGCCTCTCGAGTAACCTGGTTCTGAGCTGTATACGGACTTATGTGTTAGCACCATATGTGGGTGTATTTTTGCCTTTTTTTAATATACAGGTGGATACAATGTTAGGCCCATTAACTTCAGTGGGTCTGCTCTGAGTAGGACTCACATTGGGTGCAGCCCATAAATTTCCTCCCATGTGCAGGTGTTAATACACAGAGATTTTACACACACACACTCACTGTGCGTGCGCATATGCCTTTTACACACAACATCCATTGTATATAGTCCATCTCTCTGCCTTTGTTTCTCAGTTACCAGCCGCTCCCAGCCCTGGACACAAAATAAAGCCCTTGATTCCACCCTAAGCCCCAGGCAAGTTGGGGAGGGGAGGGGAGGGGAGAGCCCAGCCAGAGCAAATCGGGGGCAACTTTCAAAGCGACACAGAGCTCATCCTTTACCGTTCAAACTTCTCGCTGTTGCTGGTTTTGCCCTGCTGGATCACGTGGACAAAGTCGTAGGTCAAGATGAAAGGGACCCGCTCGCGATTGATCCCGAACTTGGTCTTGAAATTTCCCAGGAAGTGGCCAAAATCAATGTGAAACAGCTGGAAACAAATGGGGGGGGGGAGAGAGAGCAGGTTAGGGCTTCTAATTGCAAGCCTGGCAGCATCGTCCCAACGGCCTAGACTTTCCCAACACAGAAGACAGACCCTACTTGCACCATTCTAAAAACCAACAAATTCTGCACTAAGAAATTACACACTAGGTAGTGCAAACCTTAAGCAAATCTGTCATTTACAGCAACTGGTATTCAGAAGCATTACTGCCTCTGACAGTGGAGGCAGAGAATAGCCCTCATGACTAGTGGACATTAGCAGCCCCCCCAATGAATTTGTCCAATCCTCTTTTAAAGCCTTCCAAGTTGGTGGCCATCACTACCTCCTGTGGGAGCAAATTCTATTGGGGAGGGGATTTTATCTAGCCGCTGTCTCCATGCCATGCATAAATTTACAAGCTGCTAATGTGTAGCCTCTTCGTTGCCTTTTTCTCTTAAAAAAAGTGCCTAACGCTGCAACCTCTCCTTGTGGGAGAGTTTGAAAACCACTGCAGAAGTTCAAGGGGTTACCTTCCTTAGTGGTATAAAACTACTTCACAGGGGTGTTGAGAGGATTCAAAAAGAAGTGGGAAGAAATTAACCAGCTGTGTCGCCCCTTGAAGGCGTATCAGATTGCCAATACCTGGCCGTTCTCTCGGATCATGATGTTGTCACTGTGGCGGTCTCCAATGCCAAGCACGTAGGTGGCCACGCAGTATCCAGCACAGGAGAGCGTGAATTCCTCAATGGCTCGGTCCAGCGCATCGCTACACAAAAGGCAGGGAACAAAAACCCACTGAAGATAAGCTGGAGCTCATCCTTGCAAGGCAACATAACCTTGTAGCCGTTGTGGTATAGTGGTTAAAGTGCCGGACTAGGACCTGGGAGACCAGGGTTCAAATCCCCGCTCCGTCATGAAGTTCGCTGGATGCATACCAAATCTACCTCTCAGGGTTGTTGGTGGGTAAAATGGGGAGGTGGTGAAACCATGTATCCTGTCGCCACGAGTTCCTTGGTGGGACATAAATGATTCAAAATAACAATGGAGTGAGCTAGGTCAGAGAACATGGCCAACTTCTCCATGGCTTCACATACACCATATGCATTTAAAGAGCATGACTTCCTCCAAAGAATCCCAGGAACTAGTTTGTCATGGGTACTGGGAATTATATGGGTAAAAACTACAGTTCCTAGGATTCTTTGGGAGATGGAACCATGTGCTTTAAATGTATGGTGTGTATGCCCCATACATTTCTGTTACAACCACAAATAGGATGTAGGTGCTTGGGGGGGGTTGCCTTCTCCCATATATACCAGCCCCCAGACACAGATCAGGTAAAACACCTTCTTAACCCAGCCCCAAACAGCAAACATAATGTGTCAGTGCGGGAAGGGATGTTCTCAGTTGCAGCACTCATTACACAACAGCCTCCCCTTCACAGATC